TCACGAATGTTGTCCTTGAGCTCTTCTAGGGTCCTTGGCTTGTTAACGTAAACCTTTGACTTCAAATATCCCCACAAGAAGAAGTCAGGCGGCGTCAAATCGGGCGAACGCGGTGGCCAGTCCAAATCACCACTTTTCGACATCAAACGGCCCGGAAACAATTTCTTCAGAAAATCGATTGTTATGCGACTTGTGTGCGGTGGAGCGCCGTCTTGTTGAAACCAGAACTGCCTCATACGCTTTCGACGAATAATTGGCATCACAAAATTGGTCATCATGTCGCGATAACGCTCCTGGTTGATGGTAACAGCATGGCCATTTTCATTTTGGAAGAAAAACGGCCCAATGACCGTTTTCGAACTAACGCCGCACCAAACTGTGACTTTTTCGTCGTGAAGAGGCACTTCTTGAATCTTCTCAGGATTTTCAGTGGCGTAAATACGGCAATTTTGCTTATTTACGGTCCCATTCAATGTGAAATGGGCTTCATCGGACATGATAATTTTGTTCCAAAATTGATCGTCATCTTCGGCCATTTCGATGACTCTTTGGGCCCATTCCAATCGACGAGGCTTGTCCGTAAGCAACAATCTTTGCGTCAATTGAATTTTGTACGGGAACAAATGCAAATCAACGCCAATAATCCGTTGTAAAGTGGACCGAGCCATGCCCAACTGCTGAGAACGGCGTTTTTGGGATGTTCTTGGGGACATCTCAACACTGGCTCGTACGGCAGCGATATTCTCGTCCGATCGCCTTGGTCGACTTTTATTTGGCCTCTTCGGATTAGAAAGAGCCTCACCAGTCGTAAATTTTTCGTATAAACGCTTAATGGTGTTCTTAGAAGGCGCACTTTTCACATTTTTTAATTTTTTAAAAGCACGTTGAGTTTTCACAATTGACTTGTTCTGTTGAATGTAAATTTCAACTATTTCAGAGAGCTCGCGTGGCGTGTATTGTTCCATGGTAAAAATCTGCTTGGACTGACGCTTCAAACGCGGTATGTCATTAAGCGATCTGGCATCTCTGTCAAAAGTTATGGCGTCGTCAGATGGGTCCGTCGAATATGGGCAACCCTGTATTTCGCATTATTTCAGCTTCATTTTCGTCATATTGCATTATTTCAGCTTCGTTATTTTGTTGCAATATTTCAGCATCAGTATCACCTTTCGAAATTATTTCCTTTCCATAGACCCCAACCCCATCATTACTATTTTTACTCTGTTCAAATGAGAGATAAATAGGGTCAAACCCTAGCTCTTCAGTAGGAATACTACATTTCCTCAGCTTATTGCCTAGGAAACAATCTGGCTTAAAGTGCCTTCTACAGACGATCTAGCCGTTTCTCTTTCTTTTCTTAAATTGGAAAGCCAAATATTTTTGAAGCGTTCTGGTAACCGAAAGGCTTGCTTATGGCCTTCTTATGGCATTTTCTGAAAAAAGTTATAAAACATTAATACAATAAAAAACAAGAGAAAAACGCTATAGTCGATTTCCCATCGACCATCAGATACCCATTACTCACTTGTGACCATTTAATGGTCCGAATTGAACATTTTTTAGCATGTAGATGGACACAGATAATAAAAACAAAGTTCGTTTTTCAAAAATATTTAAAAATGTGGGCGTTAGAGTGGGCGTGGCGTCTTGTTGAAATAAACTTGCGCTGTCCCAGAACCTCAAGGATCTGCATGTCAAATCACAACATTCTAGGTGTTATAGTTGGCGAGATCTCAGCAATCTTACGGATGGACAGACAGAATGACGGACGGACGTTGCAAGATCGACTCGCTAGTAATCCTGATTAAGAATATATATACTTTATGGAAACACTTCTTTTACTTTCCGACGAATCTAGTGTACCATTTTAATTTACGAGTAACGGGGTATAACAATTTTAGTTATTCTAAACAAGGCGTGGAGCACTTAACTACCTACTTAAAAACAAGGAAGAACGCTACCTCGGTACCTCGGTAACGGTACCTCGACTATCAGATACCCGTTATTCAGCTTAACGAACCAAAGGGAAATGGAAATATTCAAGCAGCAAAGCGAGATTAAAATGCGGCACCTACCGGCGGTAGACAGATTTGGGCGTTAGAAAAGGCGACGAGACCAACACATTTAAGTTAAAATTTTTTATGTAGCATGAAAACTGTGGACGCCACAGGCTTGGGCGGTTTGTGGGTGTTAGAGTGGGCGTGGCATATTCGCGTAACAAACTTGCGCTGCGTGCAAGGCTACGGAATCTAAATCTGAGATCCCAATTCTCTATCTTTGCTAGTTTCCGACATATCCACGTTCATATTTACGATTTTTTGAGGTTTGTGGGCGTTAAAGTGGTTGTGGGTCTATCGAGAGCGTGGCACTCTGCTGAAATAAACTTGCGATGCGCAGGAATCTGCATGCCTAATCCCAGTATTGTAGCTTGTATAGTTTCCGAGATCTCAGCGTTCATACGGACAGACGGACATGGCTAGATCGACTCGGCTAGTGATCCTGATCAAGAATATATAAACTTTATGGGATCGGAAACCCTTCCGACGAATATAGTATACCCTTTTACTCTACGAGGAACGGGTATAATAAATATAATCTTCGACAGATGCTTACACTTAGTACCTACATTTTACACTTTTCACTTTTATTGCTTAACCGTGAGCTAGATGCAAGCGTTAAGACTTATAAACTAATTGTACGATTTAAACATGCAGAAGAAAATACAAATTATTTTAAATTTTAATCTACTACACTTCGCCAGAGTTGAATTTGTATGCTTAATTTTAACTTGTTGGCTTTTATACTTTCCGAGATAGCAACCACAATATTTGTTCTGCAAATATTAATATTATATAAATTTTAAAATATCCAAACATCAATTTACTATACACAAACCACTTCCCAAACATGAACAATGTATCTTCTTGGTGCACTACAAACTTTTTTCTCAAACTCTTGTGCCATAGCACCATTCTGTCACACATCACAGATTCACAAAAATTCAACTGCCCAATACAACCCCAATATATACAATAATAAAACTCACCTATTAAAAACTTAAAGTAAAAATCGATCAAAGACTTTTATAATTTTTATGGAAATATCAAATATCAAACAAGTTAAGTTTCTTACCGACGAAATACTATTGCTCTGAGAAACAGGCTGAAACTTTTATTTACTGCTGTCAAGACTTTTATTTTTTTAATGACTTTCATACAATTTTTTTTTGAATAAAAGATCTGCCAATCCTTTAGTTAAGACTTTTGTTTTTAAAAGTCTTTAATAACGGTTATGATCGAAATTTTAAGATAGAAGTCAAACGTAACTGTCATTTCTGAGTAATATATTAAAATTCAACAAGGAAGAACGCTATAGTCGAGTGCCTCGACTATCAGATATCCGTTACTCAGCTAAAGGGACCAAACGGAAATGGAGATATGCAAGCAGCAAAGCGAGATTAAAAGGCGCCACCTACCGGCGGTAGACAGATTTAAGCGTTATTGCAAATTTTTTTTTGGATCAATCGATAGGTATTGACGAGACCAATACATTTCAGTTAAAATTTTTATCTAGCATGCAAATTGTGGGCGTCACAGGTTTGGGCGGTTTGTGGGCGTTAAAGGGGGCCTAGCAATCAATCAATGGGTCAATCGACAGGTATTGATAAGAACAATACATTTCAGCTAAAATTTGTATTCTAGCATCAAAACTGTAGGAGCCACAGTTTTGGGCGGTTTATGGGCGTGACACTCTGCTGAAACAAACTTGCGCTGCGTAAGAAGCTCTGGAATCTGCACGCCAAATCTCAATAGCCTAGCTCTCATAGTTTCCGAGATCTCAACGTTCATCCGGACAGACAGAAGAAGAAGAATATATATACTTTATGGGGTCGGAAACGCTTTCTTCTGCCAGTTACATACTTTCCGACGAATCTAGTATACCCTTTTACTCTACGAGTAACGGGTATATAAAGTATATATGCTTGGGCTTGGCCCACTTGCGTTGCGCAAGAACCTCAAGTATCTGCATGCCAAATCCCACATTTGTAGCTTTTATAGTTTCCGAGATTTCAGCGTTCATATGGACGGACAGACAGAATGACACTACTCGATTTGTGATCCTATTCAGAATTCAAAAACTTTATATGGTCGGAAACGCTTTCTTCTACCTGTTACATACTTTCCGACGAATCTAGTATACCCTCTTATTCTATGAGTAAATGGTAATTTTATTGCATATTATCATCTGGTATAATGTGCTAATATTATATGATTCTTTTCACACAACCAGAAAAAAAAGAAAAAAAAGCAAGAAAATTTGTGATGATTTGTGATCAACCCGTTCGGTATGGCACGTTCATAAAAAACGAACACCACGGGTTCAAATCATGATCACTTAGGTGAAATTATGAACGCGACAATCAAAAATACCTTGACAGAACACCCTGGAGAAATTACAATTAAAATGATAATTATCAACACCGTTCATGAAAACATATATGAATGTAGGACCTACATTATAGGTATAGTGTCCCGATCGTCCGTATTTGAAAAGTTCCCTGGCACAGGTTCGAGTCCGCGAGAAGACGGTCGTGAATTCTAAGTTTTTTTTAAAAATATTATTTTTATTGTTTATATGCAAATACTTCTAATGATAAACCAAATCTTTTTTAAACGAAAGTAAGGAAATTAAATACAGCTCCATTCGTTTGGAGCCCAACCACAAAGTTTCGGTCACATTTTATAAATGAGCGTCCAAAATTGTCAACTAACGGGCATACGCACTTGTTGACCCCGTTTTGGGCATTTTTTGAACGTTTCAATCTGCTTTTTTTCTGTGTGCATAATGATTTGAAATTCTTGGAAAAAAGTCCGTCACCAACCCTACAAAATATTCGTCATGCCCTAGGAGACCAACTTTAATATAAATAGCTAATAATAACTGGGTGCTTTATTCTTTATATAACCACGTTGACCACACCAATGGCTGAAATCCAGTTCTTTATTTTGTATCTATTAATGCATTTATTTCCGAAATTCATTAGACTAAACATAACAACAACAGTTTTTTATATTAGCAATACTTTCTTGTGTTTATATGTTCAATCTCACCAATAATTAAACGTTTTCGACCCGAAGTTAAATTTTAAACAGGTTTGAATATAGTTTTGCAAACAATTACGACTAATTAACACAAATTTCAGATGTAAACTTTTACTGTATTGTTTTGGTATAGCATGTTTTAGTTTTATATATGTTAGTGTATGTAACAATTATTGTACATTGTATGTATATGTTGGTAGGGAAATACCATTTTCCTTAATTGATGGTTTTGTTTCTACCTATTCTTCTAAGCTTTAGGTAATCTGGATTCTCATCAACAAATAAAGTAGCGTACAGAATTTTAAATATGTCTCTATAGGTGCACTTTTGCATTAAATACTGTTAGAAGTAACACGAAACATGTAAATTTTATTTCATACTAAGAGGTTTTTGTTTTAAATAATTTAATTTGTATTTAAACAACGTGTTAACCTTTATTTTAAAATTGAAACGAAAGGGCTAATTTTAGTTTTAAATCAAGAAGTTTAACTTGTTTATTTTGTTTTGTTTTTAATGTATATTGTACCATAATTGAGTGTACTGTTACTGTTTAAACTGAGAGAGATCTGCAGGCCAGCATTTATATAAAATTATATGCTCTAGTAAACATTCATTAATTATTTTAATAGAGTAGGGAAGATCCTTTTACTTGTGTCGTGGTAATAAAATACCAACGTAATGAGCTATTTCATTAAGTGAATATTTGCAGTAGGCGATTGTTCGTAATACATATTGTGTAACGATGAATTTCAAGAACGCTTATATGTGCTTAAAATGCCCGTAGTTCCACCTCCCTTCAACTTTTAAGGCTCATGCTTTTTACATTGTATATGAGACTATTATACAATAATTTTAGAAAAAAGTTGTGGCTTTTTATTGTCATGTCTTTCAAAATTTTTAAAATTAGATATTTGTAAAACTTAAAATGTGTGTCGAAATCTTTTTTTTTAATATATTCCAACTTTTAACCGGCAAACTGTAATGTTAATAAGAATTTAAAGCTCACGCATTTTAAAATTGGTCGAGAAGACTGAGGGAGGTAAATGTACGAACATGTAACGGTAAATATTTGTTATAGTTATTATCCTCAAATTCTAGGTTTGAGACCTAATAGTTTCCGAGATCTACGTTCTCTTACAAAGTAAAAACACAGGCGGACACAGACAACGCGAGAAACGGGAATCATCATCACTAATGTGGGATGTATCATTTTGATTTTTTTAGAGGATAATTTGAAATTACATATAGACAATATAGTAGTACAACAAATTATAATATCTAGTGGTATATTGAGACAACAATGGACATTAAAAGTTGAAGAACGGTAGTATTACTATTTTTTTAACGGTGCTGTTTATGTTGTGACTAATTCGTTTCTGGAAGTTGGTTTACATTTATTATACTAGATTACAAAATAAAACCGTCAAAATGCTAGACAGTTAGTTACTTTGGTTTTCGGATAAGGATAAGCTCCGTGATCTACTTTTTTGGTAAGTGTAAACCACATTTTTAGCCTGTTTTTATAAATTCCTGTTAATCTTAGAGTAAAAGGATTTATTGTATTCGTCAAAAAGTATGTAACAGTTCTAAGGAAGCGTTTCCATCCTAAACAGTATCTATATCATTGCTCATAGCCATTAGACATCCGCGTCAGCCTTTTTGACCATCCTTATGAACGCTGAGATCTCGAAAACTACAAACGCCCATAACCCTTTTTTTTCTAAAAGCGGTAATTTGATTTCGTTTTGCTTATCAATACCTACCCACAAGTGGTTGAAATTGGACCGTTAATTAAGAATTTATGACCAAATATTGTAATCGCCCCTAGGTAGCGCCCTGCAACCTCGGAATAAGTTGCTTTGCAGCTTGCAGATCTTAATTTCTCTTGCGCTCTCTGTAGCTGAGAGCAGGTATGGGGTAGTCGAGACACTCGACTATAACGTTCTTTATTTGTTTTTATCTCGAGTTCTGATAAGCCGATTTCGGCCATGAAAGATTTTACTGGTAACAAAACGCTCTTCAACTATACACAACATATATGTAGTTTCAGTAGCTAATAACAATGCTATAGGCCGACAAAGTTTATCAAGAAAGAGCGCTATTGTCGAGAGCCTTGACTTTTTATTTTATCTTGTTTAAATTTTTACACTTTTCTTTTTTTTTTACTGGCTGTGACGTTATTGACGATGTTCTTGCTACGTACGGGCGTTTAATCATTACTTAACTTAACTCAATAACTAATTGCCCGATTTTAACCATTTTCGGCGTGCCGGTACTTATTGACAAGCGGATCAGAATAATAATTCTTTTAAATGTTAATCTACAAAAATGTGGGCGCCACAGTTTTGGTTTCTAAGAATCTGCATGCCTACTAAAAAATTTGTAACTTTTATAGTTTCCGAGATCTGACCTGATTAGGAGAATATATAGGTACTTTTTGGCGTCGCCGTTTGATTGCTTATACTTGAAGATAGGTACTGTTGGCAAAGACAAAATCTAATTGTCTCTACAATCCATCAGTAAACTGATTTTGTATGAATTTTTAAACGTTTGGAAATCGGTAATGTGTTTTCTGTTAACGGTAATCTTTGATGAACGAATTAAAAAGACTCGAAAACAGGCTTAAAAAGTTTTTTACACCTACATAAATTGACACCATGCAAACAAATTTTGTGCTATTTTTTTTATCAGGGAGCTTAAGGTTACCGGAAAACCAAGGTAGCCTTCTTGTAGCATTTTGACGATTTTATTTTGTAAACTGGTGCTATAGAAGTCAATGTTCCGGGCATAGGTTCATATCTTCAAAAATATTTAAACATTATCCTTGAATCGGCATTCGTACATATATGTATGTTAACTTTGTGTAAATATGTGGATGTATATAAGTTCGTATTTATTTGACTATGATTTGAGCGCGGTCTTTAAGCATTGCTCACTAATTTAGTATGATTAGTATTGGTAAGTGTACATTTGAGTATGTATACTACATGTATACTTTTTGTCTTAGGATTTTCTCTTAGCTAACGTGTTATTAGAATTCTGTGTAATGAGCACCAGCATCCCCTTCACAACTCTTCTGCTAGTAAAGGAGTTTACACTGGTCTCTAAAATATTATAGAAACTGGGTTTGAACAAAAATGAATTACATTTTGGTAATTATAGATAAAAAATAAAGTCTTAAAAAGTACTCCTGGCTTTAAAAAGTAGTGTTAAAGCTGGAACGGGGTTGGTTATGAGCACAAATTGACTTGAAGTGTTTAATATGCGTTCCATAGAATATATACTTATAAATATATATTCTATAACTGGATGTTATTTACAATAAATTGACACGATTAATTGCCGCTGTGATAAATTTCTTTGCACTTTAATGTTGTTTTGTATCAATTAGGACGTTTTTCGTGGGGTATCGTTAAATCATCGCCTTTAAATTTAGTTAAATATAAAACAACAACAATAATGTAACAAAATTCGTTGTCCTTGTTCCACAGTTAAGACTCTTTTGGCCTGTCTCAAAATATTCATTCTCTGGGTCAAAACCTAGCTCATGAGTAATTTCCACTAGTATTCTATGTTTTAGTTTGCGGAGCTTTTACAAGATTTCGTAAAATTAAGATCTATAACTAAAGCGATGTGATACAAAAGTATATACATAAATGTAAGCGAATAAATAAAACAATATAATCGCACATCTATTTGACTGTTGTGTGCAACATTAACTCATTTGTTGTTGCTCTCTGTATTTTAGTTACATATATATATCTCCCTATCTACAGTTGCTTTTCTGCTTTATATATACTTTTTTTATTACATATGTATGTGTACTTCTCTCTGAATTGCGAAACCTATTTTTAGCCCTAAATAATATTTTTATAAGAAGTGATAACATATTACAACACATTTTACAGAAATCAAACATTTAAAATACCGTTTTCTCGTCGCCATATAATATAAATTTCATACAATTTCTAGGATTGAACCGTACTTTTAGCTTACCATGATGACTAGAAAACAGGTCTGAGCGTTGATAAAAATTTAAATAATGTTTTAAATACGTGGAAATCTGTTATAGGGGTCTCAGTGCGACCTTGTTTTACTTTAAATTAAAAGCGCAAATGCAAATGTTTAGGAATTTATCATGAAATTATGAAGACGATTACGGCTATGCTTAAGCTTTATTTAAATTTATGGCGGTCTTATAATTTTATCTTAACTGGCTGAACGATGAGTAGTAGAAATAAATTTATGTGAGTAATAGTTTCTCAATTTAGAAAGAAGCACTTCAATATTGGTTGCTAGTTTCCTAAGTGTTATTTAAATACATATGAATAAATATAGTATAAATGTACATTTATATACTTTATTATTTGGTTTATCGACTCCACTTTCTTCTGGTGCAATGTAAAAATCCATGTAAAACGCGTTCTGAGTATTAAATTTGTCCTTTAATTAAAGTTAGGTGAACGTTCCTTCCAGTTCTTGCATTTTATGTTTTAGTTGAGGCTATGAACAACTCTACATGTACATATGTCTATATGTATACGGTACTTGGTGCTGGTAATCCGACTATACGTGCGTTGCTGACATCTTCGGGTTATTAGTAAGTGCCTGAAATGGAACAGTCCAGATAGAGAAGGTCTTACATTCGCATCCTCGGAGCATACTCACTGGGGCACTCGGGTGGGTTCATGTAGCCAAAGACATTCAATTCGTAGAGCGACGCCAGCGTAATAAAGAACAAGTACCAGACCATAAGGATAATGCCCAGTCGCTTGTCCAGCTTCCAGCCGTTCAGGTGCGTGGAGAGGATCAAGAAGACAACGGTGGAGAAGAGTGACAGCGTGGAGTAGGCTAGTCCTGGAAATCGATACGGGGAGGAAAGGCAGAGGAGGAAAGAGAAAAAGAGTACTCAGGGATTAGACTTGAACGGGATTAGTGTTACTACTTTGGCTAGGAGAACTGCTAGGACACTCATGCCGGGCATACCACACTTTGCACGTTTGACGAGCACTACGAGATAGATAGACACGCAGATATGGGAACATCGGGTCTAGTACATACCCTTTGATATAACGTTGACGTGCGAGCCGGGCTTAATGATGGCCGTTTGTATAAACCAGGGAAGACCTAAGCACACTAGTATATCAAAGACATTTGAGCCAATTGCGTTCGACACGGCCATGTCGCCGAAGCCCTCTTTGATAACGGCTATTGAGCTTAGGGCATCCGGGACGGACACGCCAGCGGCCACAAACGTCAGACCCATCACTGTGTCCGGGATGGCCAGCGTGGACCCTATTACTGTGATCATCCACACCATGAAGTAGGAGTAGAACGATATCCACACCATGGACATCAGGAAAGTGAATGGGTACCAGTTCCGGTACTGATCCTGCCGGCAGTCGGGCATTGTCTTCTTGCAGAGGAAGTGGATTGGGTAAACCACGTACCAGGCAACCAGGGCTGGCAGCCCTCCCTCCGTTGGCCGGAGAAGAGGATCGCGCCGTGGCTCCCGCTGCTTGTCAGTTGACTTATAGTAGTCACCTCCTACGGCCGGAGCGGCCTGGGTGGGTATCACCTGGCCACCACTTTTGGCAGTCGTCGCCGCCGATGCCGCCTCTCCGGTGATCACGGACTCGGGCTGGTCGGCGTGGTAGCCCATGTTCTCCTTGCCGACCTGTCCCATGCCCCAGTCATCAACCGGCGGTGGATTGGCCACTGGGTTCGGCTGGCTTTCTTCTCCCCAGGCGGCGTTCGGGTCCCAGCTGGCATTGGGATCGCTGTAGTTCTGGTAGTCGTTCTGCGGCTCCACATGTCTGCTCTCGTTGTCTTTTGGTGCTTGCTGTCCCTGGGCCTGTGCAGCACTTTCTTGGGTGTATGAGCTTTCGGGGACGTTTTTGTACGTCACCAGAGCCGACTGTTCCTCCTTGCTGGGAAGCTTGAAGGGTAGGTTCAGACCTAGCGCCCACCGTTCCAGCTCTGTGTTGAAGTGAAGAGCTACACAATATCCTACGTAGCAGAGAAGCATCACTACTGACTCAAACTAAAATAGGCGAAGGGTTAGATAAGATCGCTTCCTGTTTCTTCAAACTTACGCAGGATATGACGTCGTTGAAAATGATTATCAGCATAACTAGGATAGAGACACAGTAGAAGAAGCAGTCTCGCACCAGGGGCCACCAGTTCAGTTGGCAGACGGTGCCCGAGCACAGGGCGCAGACGGAGATCACAAACATAATGTTAAACACGGCGGAACCTATGACTCCGCTTATGCCGATGTCATCCTTGGCAAAAAACACTCCTATTACCACAGTGGCCAACTCAGGTGCTGAGCTTCCGGCAGCCATAAACGTAGCTCCCGCCACATCTGGCGAAAGTTTTAGCTCTACAAAATAATCAGAATTAGTTGTGCTTAGAATGCACCAGACTCTAGGAAACTATAATATCGTACTGAAGGTACAGGAAATAAAACAAGAACCGTTAATCGAAAACAAACCGATTTAATGTCGGGAAAACAGTACCAGAACAAAAACGTTGGAAACGATTGCTTTTACATGTTACAAACAATGTTAAATATATTATACCCATTTTCTCTACGAGTAACGGTTATAAGTACTTTATTTATATTTTACATATAAATTACTATGCTACTGTGACGTACTATACATTTTTTTTTTTACCATTTTATAAATTTTATATATGTATATTTACTATAAACAAGAAAGGAGGCTAGCTTTGACCCTTATAGGTCGTTTCCGTAAAAGCATTGTATGTACGTTTGTACAGAGCTTTCCGATTTTTTAGAAAACAAAAAACTATGTTCCATTTCAAATAATTTACCGTTTATGTTTACCACAAACTACTTAACTAAAGTCGGGATGAAACCTTCCCAAAAGTCTTATTTATATTGCAGGTAGTATATAAGTCGGAACGAGCCGGAACGGACAACTATATCCTAACTTCTGATTGAAATCAGTGAACCCTCTGCAAGCGTATACAAATAGTTCGCTAATTTAGTTGGATAAAAGCTATTTGACTACAAACCAACCTTTTTATACCCGTTACTCGTAGAGTAAAAGGGTATACTAGATTCGTCGGAAAGTATGTAACAGGAGAAGGAATCGTTTTTGACCCCATAAAGTATACATATTCTTGATCAGGATCACTAGCCGAGTCGATTTAGCCATGTCCGTCTGTCCGTCTGTTCGAGTGCCACGCCCACTCTAACGCCCACAAGCCGCCCAAAACTGTGGCTCCTACAGTTTTGATGCTAGAATAACAATTTTAACTAAAATGTATTTATACCCGTTACTCGTAGAGTAAAAGGGTATACTAGATTCGTCGGAAAGTATGTAACAGGCAGAAGGAAGCGTTTCCGACCCCATAAAGTATATATATTCTTGATCAGGATCACTAGCCGAGTCGATCTAGCCATGTCTGCCTGTCCGTCTGTCTGTCCGGAGGAACGCTGAGATCTCGGAAACTATGAGAGCTAGGCTATTGAGATTTGGCGTACAGATTCCTGAGCTTCTTACGCAGCGCAAGTTTGTTTCAGTAAACTGCTACGCCCACTCCAACGCCCACAAACCGCCCAAAACTGTAACTCCTAAAGTTTTGATGCTAGATAGATTTTAACTGAAATGTATTGTTCTCATCAATACATCGATATGATTGACCTAAAAAAAGTTTGCCACGCCCACTTAAACGCCCACAAACTGCGAAAACCTGTGAAGTCCACAATTTGCATGCTAGATAAAAAATTTTAACTGAAATGTATTGGTGTCGTCAATACCTATCGATTGATCCAAACACAAATTTGCCACGCCCACTCTAACGCCCATAACGCTTAAATCTGTCTACCGCCGGTAGGTGGTGCATTTTAATCTCGCTTTGCTGCTTGCATATCTCCATTTGCTGCTTTGCTGCTTGCATATCTCCATTTCCCTTTCGTCCCTCCAGCTGAGTAACGGGTATCTGATAGTCGAGGTACTCGACTATAGCGTTCTTCCTTGTTTAATGATCAAAATGTCTAAGTCTTAAATATTTGCTACCAACGGGATATCACAGAGAGCTCGTCTGTTTGAATTCGGTTGGCACTTCTTGTCCTAAAGAATTCGCGGATTCATATTTTTGGGAATTCATGGATGGCTTTAAATGGCCAGCACTAACAAATTTATTCTGAAGAACTAGAGAATTCATATTTTTGGGAATTAGTTTATGGCTTTAAATGGCCAGCACTAACAAAATTGTAACCATGCTCAATAGTGGTTCCTCTTGTCCTGAAGAATTCGCAGTTTCGTGTATTGGATGGCTTTAAATAGCCAGCACTAACAAATTTGTTACCGTTGTCAATATTGGCTTCTCTTGCTCTGAAGAACTCGGGGTCGCATTGCATCGAAGGATTCATGCGTATAAGTACAAAATGCATTCTTAGGAACATAAATTCTAACCGAATTAAAACTACAGAAAATCATAAATATTTAACTTTTCTATTTTCGGTCACCAAATAAAAATTATTTGATGACTTTTTATTAAGAGTCTTCTCATAACAGTTACTTAGACTTTTATTTTTTCAGTCCAGCTATGAGAAGACTTAATTTAAAAGTCACAGAATAAAAGTTACGGAAAGAGTCTTATTTTTCAGTCGACATATAACTAATATTTTAAGACTTTTATATAAAAGTCTGAAAATAACAGTTCCTTTACTACCATTCCAAAAAGACAATAATTGTTACGGCACTGCGGGGTTGAGTTGGTTTTGTGAATTTTTGTGTATGATTTCTTGATCAAAAATAATAAAATAACTATTATTTTCGGTTCCTGGTATAAACACCTTTAAGTAAAAGACTATGCACTTTTTTTACGGTACACTATTTAAAACTTCTTCAAGATGTATGTAAAAGTCCCTGCTTTCAAGCTCACCCTCGCACAGCCGATCTAAACTGGCCACAAAGTACTCGTCACACACTATGGCGAGGCCGAAAAATGTGAAGACGGCCACCAGGATGTGCAGGATGAGGCCGCCGTGCTGCCGCGCCCACTTGTTCATCAGCGGCTCTGGGAACTGCTCGATGGCCGGAGGCGTGCAGTTGTCCCGCTTGGGACGCCAGGTAGGAACGGCGACGTGTATAGGAGTGGATTGCGTGGTCGCCTGGGCCTACCAGGAAGGAATAAATTCATAAGTGATAAGCAGCTTTTGAAACCTTTACTGCTCACCTCAAAAGCCGGTGTGGTTTCCAAGACGGACTTGCCCTCTGTGTTGCCCTCTGCGGTTTCCTCTCCATTAGCCTCTGCGTCGCCGGTGTCCTCGGCCAGACCGCCCACGTCCAGCGGCATGGACTGTCCCTCTTTTACGTCTCCTTTGGCGGAGTAGATGCTGACGCAATAGTAGATTAAGAAAAGCAGCCCCATGTTCCACATACGGGCGCGGCGGGATCGGCGACGTACAATCTGTAAAGTAGGGACTTGCCTTAGTGCTGTTAAAACAAGAAAGGTTGCTAGGTTCGGCTAGCCAAAGTTCATATCCCCTTGCAGCTAAGTCAATTCCATGCAATTAAAATCGGATTTAAGATATGAAGTAATAGTTTACCAATATGAACAGCTGTACACGTAGTTTTTTTGGCTTTGTTTAAATATTTATCTATTTGCCTGATAAGTGTGTTTTGTTATTTTAAAAGTTTATTAACCGTGACCAAAAGTTACTCTACTGAGTTAAAACTACTTCACGGATTTTCTGCAATGTTTTCCATAAAGAACCTAAAGAAAGTTTGCGCCCTTAAGCACAACGAAAGAAACGGCTATTTTAGCAGCGATTAATCCTAGTTTAAGCCAGGTAACGTAAGTAATGGCACAGGTCGAGAGGTCTATCTTAAAAGGCTTTACATCTAGATTACGACCCCAAACTAAGCAAATTTTCCATCACGTCGCAGTTTTAAGAAACCCCGCTTAATAACAGCTAAACCGGTCGCAGCGCTGAGAAATTTCAAACATAAGTGTCAAGCATAATAATGATTCACATAAGTTTTTTGAAGCTGGGACTTATGCTGCAAAGAGGTCTGGGGATAAGAATCTTAGTTCAGCACTGAAAAATATTTCTAAAAGACCGGAATTAGAAAGGAAACTTTTAAAAAAAGTGCCGATTAAGGCTTGGCTTTGTTTAAAATAATTCGTTTTCTAAAGCACAAGGAATCTGGTGCCGACATCTGGCCTTCTAATAATACTTTAAGAGAGGCTAAACGTAAACGCCGTCATTTCCGAAGACAGAGCTGAAGTTAATCTACATACAAGCTTTAGTGAGTCACACAAACCAACGGCATTTAACTTTATTTTCAGACTTAATAATAAGTTTAGGCAACAATTCACTTGACTTGCAGACTATATTTTCCTATGGGTTCGACGGTAGCAGCGGACATTCTGCTTACAATCAAAAATTTTTGAATGGACCCGGAAAGGATGAAAATTTCTTCGAAACAACTCTTATTCCTCTTAGAATTGTTCTAAGACCATCTGGTGAAATAATTTGGAACAAATCGGCTCAGCCCGAAAAATTTTGTAGGCCGATAAAGTTACAGTTCGTGAAGAAAAGTATAGAATTGATTTTATCGGAGTACAATAATTTGGAAAAGGAAATTTCCAGTCTACAACTGTTCCAAACGATCATTGAAAATACCAATACTTCAGTAGAATTTGTGCTATCTCTTACATTAATAGACGAAAAAGCTCTAAACGTTTTAACAGGCACAAAATCCATGCAAACGTGCCCCATTTGTCGCAAGGATTTTAATGTAAAGCCAATTTGAGGGTCGTCTTTTTGTGCCAATAAAATCTGCACTTAGCTTCGGCATAAGCCCATTGCATGCCAATATTCGGATTTTTGAAATGTGCCTAAAAATATCGTACAGGCTGAATATAATTAGACAGATCCGATAAAAAAAGGTCAGAGGAAGACAAACTGGAATTTAATTCCAGAAAGTTTTATACTCAAAAACAATTTTGAGAAAAGCTGAGCCTAAGGGTTAGCCAGCCAAAGCCCGGCGGGTATGGCAACACCAACACTGGAAATACTGCCAGAAGAACGGGCTTAAAATCCGAGCTCCTTTACAAATTAAAAATTATTTTAATAGTTATTAACTCGAAACATGAAATAAATTATCTAAAATTGGAAAAATATGCTTTACAGACAGCCCTTCTTTATATAGATGCATATCCGTGGTACCTAATGACCGCTTTATATAAGATATTGGTTCGTGGAGCAGATATAATTTGAACCAGTATTTTACCGGTAGGTGTGAGGCTAAAAACAAATTTTACAAAAATGATCGGATAAACCATACCAGTAAGTGTGAGCGCATATCAACGATGTCAGACCTGTTCTTTAGATCAATGGACTGTTCCGACCCTGTTATTTCCTCATTCCTTTATATAAACGGTCAAAGTGGCGCCCACAACGTTTGACAGAAAGATCATGATCACTAGAATAGACAGACTGTCAGCTTCTGTTTCAATGCCGCTTGCGAGCTGAGCTTAAAAGCAAGCGAATCTAATGCCATTTTTCGTTTTCTTTATTGACAAATGTTGTGAGCGCCACGTTGATGTTCATGTGGGATTCCATGTGATTGATACAGATACGCTAACCGTTGATGTCACTTTCGAAATCTATACAGTTTCCTTGCGGAAAGGACATTACAGCGCAGAGACGAAATGCCCGGCAGAGCGCTTAAGGGAGGACTTAAGTATGCCTAAAGGTAAGCTGCATTTCTTGAACTTCCTTCGGATGATAACTAAAATTTATTATACAAATATAAATGTAGCATATTTTTGTGATGATATCAGAATATGTCAAATGAACATTAAACAAAATAAAAAACAATAATGTACAAACAATTTTTTTAAATAATCTGATTATAAAAATCTAAAGAGATAACAAAAAAAAATGTAGTTAGGTCGATTATTCAATAAACGTTGAAGTGGGAGCCTCCGAAAGTAGCAATTTTTAACGAATCATAAATCTTAAACGACATAATCGGGGGTGTCACAGAAATCCCTTCCAACCAAATTTCCCCCGAAAAACAAATCTCGGTGTCACAGACGTCATTTTTGACGGTTTCAAAATCCCCCGTATTTTGACAGACGTTTTCATAAAATAAACCAACTTACAAATGCTTGCCAAGAATACTTTATTTAAGACAACACTAATGAAATCTGTGAACTATCTGCATACTACAATTTTTATATTTACTTTGGGCTATATTTAAGGATAAGCATTTTATAAGCCGTCTTGAAAAAATTAGCTAAAAACAAGGAAGAACGCTATAGTCGAGTACCTCGACTGTCAGATACCCGTTACTCAGCTAAAGGGACCAAAGGGAAATGGAGATATGCAAGCAGCAAAGCGAGATTAAAATGCGCCAACTACCGGCGGTATACAGATTTAAGCGTTATGGGCGTTAGAGAGGGCGTGGCAAATTTTTTTTTGGACCAATCGATGGGTATTGTTGAGACCAATACATTTCAGTTAAAATTTTTTATCTATTGGGTGGGCAAGAAAGTCATGTCGTTTTTTTTAGTAATCGTTTTTAATCTAATTTATTTACGACTAATCGAGCACCAGGGTCACACTTTTTAGTATCGTTTTAAAGCTTATTGTCTTAGGTACTATCGACGAAAATTTGGTAATTATTCGATAACATTTGTGGAAGCTATAGCAAATTAAACATGGAGGACCAAAGTGAGCATTTTCGGCATATTTTGCTTTTTTACTTCCGAAAAGGAAAAAAAGCGGTCGAAGCTCGCGAAAAATTGTGCGAAGTGTATGGTAAAGATGCCATGAGTGATCGCCAATGTCAGCGCTGGTTTGCCAAATTCAGGCTTGGAGATTTTGGAGTTAAAGACGCCCCACGTTCTGGTCGACCATCGGCCGTTTTTGACGAACAAATTCAGGCTTTGCTGGATGAAAACCGGCGCTATTCAACGCGGGAGATGTCAGAGAAGCTCAGTGTGTCGCATACAACGGTTGAAAACCATTTGAAGAAACTTGGCTACGTAAGCAAGCTCGATGTTTGGGTTCCGCATAACTTAAAGGAAATTCACCTAACTAAGCGTATCAACATCTGCTATTCTCTGCTGCAACGGATTAAAAACGATCCTTTTTTGAAGCGGATCATTACTGGCGACGAAAAGTGGGTTGTTTACAATAATGTCCAACGAAAAAGATCATGGAGCAAGAAAGATGAGCCAGCCCAAGCCACATCAAAGGCCGATATCCATCAGAGGAAAGTTATGCTGTCTGTTTGGTGGAATTGGAAGGGTGTAGTGCACTTTGAGCTGCTGGGACGGAATGAAACCATCAATTCAGATGTGTACTGTCGCCAGCTATCCAATTTGGCGGAAAAAATTAAAGAAAAGGAGCCGGCACTAGCTAATCGCAAGGGTATAGTCTTTCACCATGACAACGCTAGGCCCCACATATCTTTGGTCACTCGGCAAAAATTAACGGAGCTGAATTGGGAAGTGCTACCACATCCACCTTATAGTCCGGACTTAGCACCTTCAGATTACCATTTGTTTCGCTCTCTTCAAAACTCTTTGAATGGTAAAAACTTTGATTCAGATGAGGCTGTCGAAAACCACTTGTCTCGATTCTTTGCTGGAAAAGACCAAAAGTTCTTCGAGCGCGGAATTATGCAGCTGCCCGAGAGATGGTCATTAGTGGTCGAACAAAACGGCCAATACATAATTGATTAATTATAAGTCCTGATATAAATAAATCATCTTTGAAAATATTGAAAAAAAACGACATGACTTTCTTGCCAACCCAATAGCATAAAAATTTTGGGCGTCACAGGTTTTCGCGGTTTGTGGGCGTTAGAGTGGGCGTGGCAAATTTCTTTTTGGGTCAATCGATAGGTATTGATGAGAACATTACATTTCAGTTTATTCTAGCATCAAAACTGTAGGAGCCACAGTTTTGGGCGGTTTGTGGGCGTTAGAGTGGGCGTGGCACTCTGCTGAAACAAACTTGCGCTGCGCAGGAATCTCATTAATCTGCGTGCCTAATCCCAGTATTGTAACTCTCATAGTTTCCGAGATCTCAGCGTTCATACGGACAGACGGACATGGCTAGATCGACTCGGCTAGTGATCCTGATCAAGAATATGTATACTTTATGGGGTCGGAAACGCTTCCTTCTGCCTGTTACATACTTTCTGACGAATCTAGTATACCCTTTTACTCTACGAGTAACGGGTATAAAAATACGTGTGCAAACCGTCCAGCCTGACAGTGGTACCAATTTGCTCGAACTATAAAATACCAAATTTCGGAGTAGTTATCGAAATGTTGTGTTAACGATTTATTTTTAGTACGGTACTTAGTATTGTAGTAAAAAATAAAACCTATTTCTGGTAAAAGTTTCATGTTAAAAGAAGTTGTAGTTATTGAGAAAAATTATA